GGGGGGCGGAGAATGGGGCAGGGACCTGTCCCCTCTAGGGGGCACCGGCTCCAGCCAGTTCTGTGCCCCACCCCCCCGGGGCCGGGGGGCGCTGGCAGATGGGGCGAGCTCCCCCCGGGGTGGGGGGTGTCCCGTGGACTCACCTGCCGCCCGGGAGCCATGGGCGGGAGTGGCCGGGGTTCCAGGCCCCGCCGCAGCTCAGGCTGCTGAGAGCAAAGGGATCCCGTCCGGCCCGGCCCCCCAGCTGTTCCACGGTGCGATGCATCCAGCCTGCCGGAGACGGGGAGCAGGGCGGGGTTACACGGTGCCTCCGCCACCCCCAGGCAGGGCACACGGTGCAGCCTGCCCCCCCAACCCCTCCATACCCCCCTCAGTCCCCTCCTCCAACCCTAATATCCCCTCCCCCACCCTCATCCTGCCCCCTTTCTGCCCCAACATCCCCACCCCTCTCCCTGTCCCATCCCCAGAAATCCCTTCCCCATCCCTCCTCCCACCTTCCCAGACATCCCCTCCCCGACTCCTCTCCCTGCCCCCAAGTCCCCTCCCCCTGCCAAGTTCCCTCCCCCTGCCTGCCCCCACATCCCCTCCCCCATCCCTCCTCAGACATCCCCTTCCTCACCCAACATCCCCCCACCCCCTCCCTGTCCCCACATCCCCCCTCCCACCTGCCCCGACATCCCCTCCCCCTCCGCACCAGACATCCCCTCCCCCACCCCTCTTCCTGCCCCCAAGTCCCCTCCCCCTGCCCCCCACATTCCCTGACATCCCCTCCCCCACGTGCCCCCCCACGATCCCCCTCCCCTCTCTGCCCCCCCGTTCCCGGGCCGGGCCTGGCCTCACCACTTCTGCTGCGCTGGATGCCTCTGTCCCCCCCTCCGCCCCCTCCGGGGTGCGAGCAACGGGCGGCCCCCGCGGCTCCTTCTGGCTGAGACTCCCCCGGCGCCGTGGGGAGCCGTCACAGCCTCATACACCACTGTGGGGAGAGCGGGGGTCAGCCATGGGGGGGCTGGAGTCACCTCAGGGGGGAGGGGAGGGAGTTGGATCACCTTGGGGGGAAGGGACGGGGGCACAAATGACTTGGGGGGCTGTTTGGGGGCTGGGGTGGGGGTGGACTCCCCTGTACAGACCCATTCGGGGAACCCCCACCCCTCCCCCACCGCCCCAATTCCTCTCCCAACTACCGAGCACAGAGCTAAAGGGGGGGGGGGGGGGGCCAAAGCGGGGGGAATGGGGGGGGGGGGGAGGTGGGTCCAGGCTGAGACGGGGTTAATGGGGGGGTCCAGGCCAGGACGGGGTTAATGGGGGGGGCAGGGCGGCCCAATTGAGGCACAATGTGGGGGGGGGAGGGGCAGGTTTACTACTGGCTCCACCCCCCCCCCCCCCCCCCCCGCGCGGGGTTAACCCCTTCCACCCCACCACTCCTCCCACCTCCAGGACCCACCTATTGCAACTCTCTCCAGGAATCCGGCCAATCATGCGGCGTCCCCCCTCTGGCTGCCAATCATCGTCCCCATCCGTCCTCTAGCGCAGCCTGGAAGAGACCAATGGGAAGCCAGACGGTCACTGAGGGGCGCGGTCCAGGGGCGGGAGAGCCAATGGGAACCGGGGGAGGAGCAAGATGCAACCAATAAGGTGAGTCCGCTGAGATGCAGAGGTGGGGGCGCTTCAGGGGGGCAAATCAGGAGGAACAGCAGGAGCGCCGTGGGGCAGGACTGAGGGGCAACAGGGGGGGCAGTGGGCGGGACCGAGGGGCTGCAGGGGGGCTGTGGGGCAGGACCGAGGGACTGCGGGGGGGCTCGGGGGAAGCTCAGGGCTGGGCTAGCAGGGGCTGTGGGGCAGGACTCAGGGGCAGCAGGGGCCATGGGGCGGGGCTGAGGCACAGTGGGGGGGCCGTGAGGCGGGGCTGAGAGGCAGCGGGGCGCTGTGGGGAGGGGATGAGGAACAGTGGGGGGCCGTGGTGCAAGACCGAGGAGCAGTGGGGGGCCGTGGACCGGGGCTGAGAGGCAGTGGGGCGCCGTGGGGCGGGGATGAGGAGCAGTGGGGGGCCATGGGGCAGGACCGAGGGGCAGCAGGGGGCCGTGGGGCAGGGCTGAGGAGCAGTGGGGGGCACCGTGGGGCGGGACTGAGCAGCAGCAGGGCGCCGTGGGGCGGGCACACGGGGCGGACGAGATGTCACAGGGCGACGCAGACAGCGAAGGACCCACACATGGGCTCTGCCCAGGTGCGGCGGGGGGGGGGCGGGGGCGGCAGCCGCCGCCACCACCGCCTCTGTCCCTCCCCGGCCTCCGTGACTCACCACAGCCCCGTCATGCCAGGCGGATACCGCCCAGACGACACCCCCCCCCTCCACCCCCAACCCCACGGCCCCGTCTGCTTCCAGCTCCCCCCCCCCCAGGCACCAGAGCGGGGCAGGGGGGCGGTGGGTGACAGACGTGGGGCACGTGGGCAGGGGGTGCCCCCGCTCTGGGCCCCAGAGGGAGGTGACGCACATGGCTCGGGGTGGGGGGCGGAGCGGAGCTAAAAGCGGCTGCGGCCGGTGGACTAAGTTTGGGACTGGAGCAGGAAGAGGGCGGGGCGGACGTACGCTCCCAAGGGAGACCCTGGCGGGACGGTTGCTGCCCGGCACACGCCAGTGACATGCGACACTGCCACGCATGGACACGCTAACAACACAGACATGCCAACCAGTGACGAGGACATGTAGACACGCCAGTGACACATGTGGCAGGGCCGCGTCATGTACTCGAGGCCCCCAGACTCTGCCACCTACTCACGCCCCGGGCACTCTCACTTTCACACACATGTGTGAGCTCCTTGGGCACGGCGGCACGCTTGTGCGCTGCATGTTTACACACGTGATCGTGCCGTGCCCAGCTGTGCACACGTGCTTGGCACATTCACATGCGCCTTCCTCTCCCCCTATATTCCCCCCACGCTGTTGCCATCATGGCCCATCCCGCGCTGTGGGGATTTCGGGGCTGGCCCATGACGCGTGTGCGAGCAGAGAGGAATCGTGCAGCACGATGCCCATGTCAGACGTGCTTGCTCCGCCCCCCTCCTCGTGACAGTTTATTCACATCCCCTCTGGCCAGCGGCAGGCTGCCAGAGCTGGGGGGCATGACAGGGGGCGAGGGTGTGAATGGGGGAGTCAAGGGGGGGGTGGGCCCACAGGAAACCACTTCCTGTGCAAACAGCTGGACACACACACACACACACTCACATCCCAGCAGGGGGCAGCGCCGGACACACAAACACACACACCCGAGCTGAGGGCAGCGCTGCGTGGACACACATAAACAAACACTCACACCAGCAGTTGGCAGCGCTATGCGCACACACACACACACACACCTGTGTGAACACACACACACACACTGGCAGGGGGCAGTGCTGGATACACACACACACCAGCAGGGGGCAACACTGCGTGAACACACACACACCCCAACAGTTGGCAGCGCTGTGTGCACACACCCCTGCGTGAACACACACACACGTAAACACACCAGCAGGGGACAATGCTGGATACACACACACACAAACTCCAACAGCAGCACTGAATGGACACACACACACACACACTAGCAGTTGGCAGAGCCGTGTCCACACATACACACACCCTTGTGTGAACACACAAACATAGACACACACACCAACAGGGGGCAGCATTGGACACACACATACACACACACTCACACAAACTAGCTGGGGCAGCGCTGCATGAACACACACACACACACACCAGTAGGGGGCAGCTCTGCGTCAACACACACACACACGCTGGGGACAGCACTGTGTGAACATACACACACACCAGCGGGGGCAGCACTGCGTACACACACACACCAGCTGGGGGCAGCACTATGTGAACACACCCACACCAGCAGGGGGCAATGATGCGTGAACACACATACACACACACCCCAGCAGGGGGCAGTGCTGCGTGCACACACACACACACACACACACCAGCTGGGGGCAGCGCTGTGTGAACACACACACACACCCCAGCAGGCGCCAGTACTGTGTGAACACACACAAATACACACCAGCAGGCGCCAGCACTGCGTGAACACACCCACACACCCACACCAGCAGGGGGCAATGATGCGTGAACACACAGACACACAGACACACACCAGCAGGGGGCAACACTGCGAACACACACACACACACACCAACAGGGGACAGCATTGGACACACACATACACACACACTCACACAAACCAGCTGGGGCAGCCCTGCTTGAACACACACACACACACACCAGTAGGGGGCAATGATGCGTGAACACACACACAGAGACACACACACACCAGCAGGGCGCAGCACAGGGTGAACACATCCACACCAGTAAGGGGCAGCACCGGGTGAACACCCCCACACCAGCAGGGGGCAGCGCTGCGTGAACACACCCCCACCAGCAGGGGGCAGCACGCCCCCCATCCCTTCGCTCTCGGGCGTGGCACCAGTGACCGGCCGGGCTCCCTGTGAGTTCCAGTGGCGGCGCTGGGCGTGGGCGGGGTAAGCCCGGCCGCCCGGCCCATCCCCGCCACGCCTGACGGAGGGAATCTCCGTCCCGCCCACGCTGGCCGGGAAGCCGAGCGGTGCCCGCCGGCGGCTGCCAGGAACGGCGTGAGGCAGAGAGACAACGGCACCTCCCGGTGCTCCACGGCCCACCCCCGTGAGCCATGGGGCCGGATCGGCGCCCCCTAGAGATGACAGTGCCCACCCTGCCCCCTTGCCAGGTGCCGGGGGAGTTCCCGGGGGTGGGCGCTGGGAAATGACCTCTTCCTTCCCCTTCACGGCTACGTTCTCCGAAGCGGCCCCGGGGTTCCTGTCTGGGCTCTGCCTTTACTAGAAAAGGGAAGCAGCAGCCCTGACTCACACCGGGGGGGGAGGGGGGGCAGGGCGGTGGTGATACACTGGCATGCGAGAGCACGCACAAGTGAGTGTGCGAGGGCAGATGCTTGTGAGAGGGGAATGTGCGACCGGGCGGTGGGCCGAGCACACAGGGCACGAGCGTGCCAAAGTGAAACATGCACCGCCAACCCGTCACCGACAGCACGGGCCATGCAAATGAGTGTGCCACAGTGACCGTGCATGTCAGAGTGTGCACGTGTGCAAAAGTGACCCTGCATGGGTGGACATCTGCACGGGTATGGCGGCGCAGCTGAGAGCACGCATGTGCAAATGAGCGTGCACAACTGACTGTGCGTGTCAGTGTGTCTTGCCAAGTGTGTGAGACCCGGTGATGGGTGAAGAAGTCCGTATTTGGGTGTGAGGGTGCATATAAGAATGTGTGTGACAATGCAGATGTCAGGGAGCATGTGTGCACGTGAGGGGCACCGGCAGGCATGAGTGACCGAGCGCATGTGTGACCAGTGCACCTGGGCATGAGCAGAGCCATGCACAAGCCAGCAGGGCCACACATCTGTCTCAGTGCGATCGTGCAAGTGTGCTGAGCCTTGCGCGTGTCGGCGAGAGTGTGTCCGGGCGAGTGAGAGTGAAGGGGGCGTGAACGGGGGCAAATGTGCACGCGTGTGGCCGCAGTGCCGTGCAAGGGGAAATGGGGCACTAGTAGGAGGGGCACCCTAAGGGGCTGATGGGGTGGGGGAGTGGGGCTTGGCAGCACTAGGGGGCGGGGCCTGAATTGGCTCCGCCTCCTTCGATGAGTCAGAGGTGGGGGAGTGCTGGGGTGGGGGGTTCCCTCCCCGCACGATCACTCCACAGCTTGGAGCATATGGTGGGGGGAACGGGGGGAGTTACACAAGGAGACCTTCACACGCATGGAGCCAGACACGCGTGCGTGCACCGAAAGGAACACCCACGTGAACGCCCACAACTGGGTGCATGACCAGCCCCTCCCCGTGCATCCCCATGAGCCCCACAGTCCAAACCTGCCGCCCCCATATGCTCCGAGCTGCCCCCCTGCACTCCGGGCACCCAGCCCCACTCCTCCGTGCATCCCCTCGCACGGCTGCCGTGAATCCGAGTGAAAGCCGAGCCCGGCCCTAGATCCCGCCCGGGGGTGGGGGGATCCAGCCTGTCTGGGAAGGGGGGGGGGAATCACTGACGACAGGCGGCGGGGAACCCCCACCCCCTCGGGGGTCAGAGTCACGTCAGCGCTGAGTCAGCGCCGCGCCTGGAAACCCACGTGTGCACCGACCAAAAGACTTATCACAACCGCCCGTCCCCCCGTCCGCCACAGACCCGCACACCCCCAGCGTCACACAACCGGCACCACAGCAACAGAGAGAGAGACACACACCAGGCATCACACAAGGTCACACACACGCCGCATCCCACGGTAACCAGGAAGCATGACAGAGACAGCACCGCAGGGTGTCAGATAGTGTCACTTGATGACCTAGAGACACACAGGCACCCCACCCACACCCGCACAGTATCACTGTCACACACACACACGGACAGGCCCCCGACACGGTGACACACAGACCCAGTGACACAGAAAGGCACAGACAGCATTTCACACACACACACACACACAGACACACACACACAGTTGGTGTCACACACACAGGCAGACCCGCACGCACCGTGACCCACACACACAAACCTTGTCTCACACACACACACACACACACACACACACACACACACAGAGTGAGCCATACACAGGCAGAGCCATACGCATGGGGCAAAGTGACACATGGGCAGACCAACACACAGCGACACATATACTCACAAACACGGTGACACATACACAGTGACACACAAACATGGGCAGACCCCCCCAGTCAGACATATACAGTGACACACACAGTGACACACACACACACAATCACTGTCATACACACAGGCAGACGCGCGCACACAGTGACACACAGTGACACACAATTACTGTCACACACACAGGCAGACCCGCACACACAGTGACACACACGGGCAGACCTGCGCACTCACACAGTGACACACACACACAGTGACACACAATCACTGTCACCCACACGGGCAGACGCGCGCACACAGTGACACACAGACACAAACACAATTACTGTCACACACACACACGGGCAGACCCGCGCACTCACACAGTGACACACACGGGCAGACCCCCCACACACAATGACCCCTCCCCCCACAGTGACCCACACAGTGACCCACACGCCCAGCACTGGGAAGAATGGGGCTGGCTCACCCCCCCCCCTCCGACCCCTTGGTGCGGGAGGGGGGGCCCAGCAATCTGGAAGTACCCGGCCCCCCAAGGGTTAACAGCTCTGGGATTCCCTCCTTCAGGGGAGGGGGGGCGGGGACATGACAGATTTCCAGCCCTCCTCCCCCCGCCCCCCCAACACCCCCTGCTAGCATGCTGGAGCTGGGTACAACCGTCTTGTAACGGCTACCCACAACAAAACACCGCACAGGCGGCTCTGTGCCCTACGCACATGCTGGGGGACACACAAGGACAGGGCAGAGAGAGACGCACACATTTGGGACGCACAAACACACACCAGAGACACACAAACACACCGGCAAGAGAAAGTCACACCCACACACACCTTCCCCATACTAAAGAGAGACACTGTCTCACTGGACAACAAAAATCACACGCCAGAGACAGACAAACTCACAACACAGAGGAGTCACACGCGAGTTGAAGAGAAACACAATCACACACCACGCACTGGAGAGAGACAAAAATCACAGCCCGGCACTTGGAGGCCAGACAGGCGCACACCATCTCCCTCCCCAAAACACACTTCTGAGAAACACACACACACACACACACACACTGAACTTTGAGACACACACACAATCACACCGTCCTTTGAGCCAAACAGACACACTGTCCACACACACACACAGGTCTTCGAGACACACACAATCACACTTTCAAGACACACACACACACAAAATCATGCCGTCCTTCAAGACACACACACACACACAATCACACCGTCCTTTGAGACACACACACACACACACACACTCCCTACACACAATCACACAAAGTCACAAACCCAGGAGGCCTGGGGGGGTCCCGTCACCCGTACTCGACTCACCCCCGGCACCCCCACGAGGGAGACACCGTCACGCACGCCGGCGGTGGCGTGTGGGGAGGGTTCCCAGCCCGGCCTTACCTCCTGGCCTCCGTGGGGTAGGCGCCCGGTGCCCCCCTCCAGCCGGCTGGGGGAGGGAGGGTGCAGGGTGTGTGTGTGGGTCCCAGGCCCCTCCTGGGCGGGGGGGTTGCCACAGACAGGCGGATGGACAGGCGGATGGACAGGCAGACGGACGCTCCGTGTGCCGCACTCGCTGGCTGCCGGCTCCCGACTGGCTCCGGCGCCCGCCCGGCTCCTCCTCCCGCCCCCCCCCGCCCGGGGTCCCCCCCCCCGCCCGCCACGCTGTGGGGGGGGCCAAGCCCGGCCGTGGGTTCCGGACACAGTGACTCAGCTGCGCCCGCCCTTGTCCCGTTTAAAGAGCTGGGTGACATCATCCCCCTTCCCCGCCCCCCTCTTCCTCCGCCCCCCCCC